AGAACCAAGAGAAAAAGAGCCTGGGAAAGGTGTATGGCTACTTTCTCCCAAACCGCCAGAGTGCAATCACCATCTCGGGAGATAAGGTACTGCAGTCTTCCTTTCCAGGACCACGTGCTGCATTGAGCTTGCTTCATCGGTAACAATCAACTGTTTTTTGCAGACAATGGGCAAGCTGGGTACTTCCCTGTCCAGTGGTTATGTGAGGGTGAATGGGACCCTAACCCAAGTCCTGCTGGTTGGAGCCCCTACTCATGGTAGGTCACCCACATCCCCTGAGGCTTTTTGACCATATTGCCTTGACAGAAGGTCATGGGAACTTGCCAGGCACAAGTGGACTTAAGTGCTTCCTGTTTAAAAGTCATGGATAGCAAGTTGTGTAACCTCTCTGAACTTCATTTACAAAATGGCTGTAGTGCTGATATTTCAAAAGTTGTTGAAATGATGCATGAAAGTGTGTTGAAAACTCCCACACTAGGACGCCAGAGCTAGAGAAGAGCTGTTTTGTTTTGTTTCTGTTTTTGTTATTGAGACAGAATTTAGCCCAACCTTACCAGAAACTTGGAATTGACTCTGCTGGTCCCCACTCCTGCAGGCCAAGCAGAGGCAGGAGGATCAGAGGGGTTCAAGGCCAGCCTCTGCTATGTAGTGAGTTTGAGAGTACCCTGGGATACGTGAGACTGTCTCAACAAACACACCCCAAAATTATGGGATCGACAAATGTCTCAGTTCTAGCACTCAAGTCATGTGGCTCACAATTGCCTGTAACTCCAACTCCAGGGGATCCAGTGCCACCTTCTGGCTCCTACTGGCACTCGCTCACACACATAGATATACAGAATAAATATACACATACACAGACTAAATATTTAAAAAGCTTAACTCACATTTCTAAAAAATTTAAGTTATTTTTATTATTTTTAAAATTTTTAGTTTTGGGCTAGTCAAGTCCTTTAATAATGCTGGCCACTTGCAGCATGTGGGGGTTGGGAAGAAGGTGTACTTTTCTTTCTTAACTTTATTCATATCATATCGTAAGCATGCTCTATGTCAAATATTCTTCAAAAATATGGTTGTTCTTCCATATACACTGTTTTTCTCACTTGTACCTGCTACTATCCTTTGAGGGGAACAGTCGGGAGGGAAATGCTTTGACGTTGTTCTGGAGGAGGGGCTGAGCCTTAGGCACATACCTGGGAAAATGAACTAACTTTCTGATACGACAGGTACTGGATTCTCAGGGTGTTCCCTGACACCATCCCTGCATAGTGCCAAACTGTTTCCCAGAATGATTGCTTCCTGTAGGCGGGGAAAAAGACTTCAGTAGTGAGCCTGTATCTGGCAGAGGTTTGGCTGCGGGGTCACTGCATGGTTGGGACGGGACAGTGTGAGAACAGGCTGCACTTGAAGCGCCTACATGCTTGGGACACAAATGGGTCTCGGGTGGGGTCCTGTCTCCCCACTCTTACGATGCTAGGAGGCCCTGTGGCTTGTTTCAGATGACGTGTCTAAAATGGCATTCCTAACCATGACCCTGCACCAGGGTGGAGCTACTCGGATGTATGAGCTAGCCCCTGAGAAGACACAGCCCGCTTTGCTCAGCACCTTCAGCGGAGACCGACGATTTTCTAGATTTGGTAGTGTTCTACACCTGACTGACCTGGATGATGATGGCTTAGGTAAGGCTGGGAAAGTGACTTTAGCTAACACTATCTCCCTTCGTACTCTATGGACCTGTGTCCCAGTTAGATGGACTAGCTTCTGCCTCCTCATCCAGTGGTCCAAGAGACATTTTTTTTTTAAGACACCACCTCACTTAGTTCAGGTTTGCTTCTAAGCTCGTCGTGCAGCCAAGGCTCATTTTCAACTCTTGATCCTCCTGCCTTTATCTCCCAAACGGTGGCACTACATCTGTGTGGCACACCTGGCTTCAAGGGCTTCTATAGACTTGAACTTAGATTCATACAGACAAGCTGCATTTCCTGAAGACTTAGTGGGAGGGTCACCTGCTGTTATTGATAGATGAGAAAGTGGGAAACGAAGGCTTTTAACTGACTTTGGAGCAGCCATGGCAGACTGAAGGGCGTGCTGATTCCCTGTGGGAGGTAGGCTAGGGATCCAGAGGTGGAGGGGGGAAGGCTCATAGGAGTCTAAGGCTTCTTTCCACTTTCTGTTAACAGATGAGATCATCATGGCTGCCCCACTGAGGATAACAGATGTCACTTCTGGACTGCTTGGGGGAGAAGATGGGCGAGTGTACATTTATAATGGCATGTATACCACCTTAGGTGACATGACAGGCAAATGCAAGTCCTGGATGACTCCATGTCCAGAGGAGAAGGTAAGGGAGGCCTGTGGAGTCCACAATGGGGAAGGTCCGGTGCCTAGTCACCTGTCAGGGGTGTGCTTACAGCTGTGCTGGTAGCCTCTAGAGCTGGAACCCAGTTGGACTTGGTTCTTGTTCACAGCTGACCATGGCCTTCGTAGGTGCCCAGGGCAGGGTGCTAAAGGAGGTGCTGGCCACATTGGAATTTCACTAAAAACTGCAGCCTTTGGTTTTTTTGGGTATTGCTTCTTTACTTCTTTCTCTGGTGGCTTTCCTTACGTCTCCAAGCATTCAGCTTGGCCATCATTATTTGTTATTATTATCTTTCTTAAATTTAAAAATTAAGGTGTACTGGCGTATGCCTTTTGACCCCAGCACCCAGGACACAGAGGCATTTAAGTTTTTGTGAGATTGAAACTAGCCTGGTCTACATAGTAAGTTCTCTGCCAGGGCTACGAAACAAAGTGGGACTTTGTCTCAAAAACAAATAAAAATGATTTTTTTAAATGGCAAAATTAGAGTTTAGTGTGAAAAGATGTAGAACATACAGAAATACAAAGAAGAAATACAAAGAGGAACATTAAGACTAACCTACTTAGAGTTCTACAGAGCTTTCCCCTGTAGCCAGAGTACATAATCTTCTAGTATCTTCTACAATTTGAAATGTTAGTATTGCAGAGCTTGCGGGGAGGAAGCAGGGTCTTGCTATGTAGTCCGGTTTGGCCTGGAACCTGTGGTAGACTCCCTGTGTCTGCCTCACCGGTGCAGGGATCCCAGGCTAGCAGTGCCATGTCCTACTTAGTGTGCACACAACGAAGCACTGTGTGGAGCTGAAGCCACATCAAAGCTATGAAGCTACTTTGATGCCAAGGACAGACAAAGAGCCTGGAGGACAGAGGGCTTCTGTTTAAGACACACTGCTGATGGCAGCCAAGGACCTGTACTAAGGCCTGTTTCTAACACTTGCTAACCAATAGGATCACAACATGGGTGTTTTGTTCACAAAATTAACTTGTTTAAAGTATAGTCTAGGCTGGTCTCAAACTTCCCACTTCTACCCCCGAAGTGCTGGGTTCTAATCAAACAGTATGCAAGCTGAGCATCCCGAGTCTAAAATCTGAAATTCTGAAAAGCAAAGACTTCTCAAGATCTGACATGATCAAGTGGAGATTCTACAGTAGGGGACTGGTCTCATGTACAGAAGTCATTAGCATACTGTATAGAACTGTCAGGCTGTGGGCCTGAAGATATATCTCCTGTTTAGTCTCAGGCCCATCCTCTGGACATCTCACTATGTATCTGTAGATACTTCACAACCAGAAAGATTCCAAATCCAAACTTCTGGACCCAGGCATTCTGAAAAGGAGCATTCACCTCATTGAGAACATTGTTGGGTCAGTGAGGTGGCTCAGTGTCTAAAGGAGCCTGCTGCCAAGCCTGAGGGCCTAGGACCCACATGGTAGGAGAGAACCTACTCTCAAGTTGTCCTCTGACTTCCACATGCATGCCTTGGCACATCTGCACGCACAACCCAAGTAAAACAAGTAAAGAGCAAAACACAAAAGACAGCAGCCTAGAGCCTAGATTTTATGGAAAGGTACACCTTGTTCTAGAGGGATGTAGATACAGTGGTAATGGCGATAACCCTCGTACCCCAAAGGCAGAAGCAGGAGGACTAGGAATTCAAGGACAGCCTTGGCTATATAGTGACTTTGTGGCCAGCCTGGATTACATGAGATCCTGCTAAGAAGGGATGGAGAGGGGTTCTATTATCTGCCAACTCTTTTGTCTTGGACTAAACCCATTTAACTGACTTTCCTGAAGTGATCACTAATCATTGTGGCTAATTCTATTATGAACCATGGGGCAAACATTCCCATGTAAATGACTTCTTACAACACATTAGGTTTTAGGATCTAGGCTTCTATAAATGGAATTTCTAGGTTAAAGGGCATACTTGGAAGAACTGGAAACATTGAAATATGAGCATGAAGCTGTCAGACCGGCTCAAAGCTCTGCATGAGTAGTAATTATGTACCTGTGCTAATGTCTCCCTGCTGCTTTTTCTTCCAGGCACAGTATGTACTAATTTCTCCAGAGGTAAGTACCTGAAGGTCTGACACCCTCGCCCCAGCCCCTTGTACTTACAGGAACTGCTTAACAAATCCTGGTGTGCGTGTGTTTTATAGGCAAGTTCAAGGTTTGGGAGCTCGCTCGTGTCTGTGCGGTCTAAGGAAAGGGTGAGTACAGGACCTGTGCTGTGACATCAGATCTGATAAATCCCTTCTTAGTTTAGAAAAGAAAGGAACACATGAACTTAACCCTGCTACTTTTTAAGTGTGAGACTTCCCTTCCCTGCCCCCACTGCTGCTCTACAGCAGAGCTTAACAGGGGATAGCCTTGTAGGTCAACTATACTTGACCTTTTAAAAACAACCATCCTATTTTAAATAGTTGAAAGACTATTTCCTGACAGGAAGTCTTTATGAATCTTGAATGTCGGAGTCCATGACTTAAGGGTATTTGCTGTGGTGCTGAGAGCATGCTCTCATTCCTGATCTGTGGCTGTACTCACAGCACTGCAGCTTCTGAGACTGAGTTCTCACATAGCCTCAGATATTACCTGGCCCTTTATGATATTTGCAGATCACTGCAATGACAATGTTCAGACTGCCGACTTTTAAAAAATGTTTATTTGTATGTGTTACAAATACACTTGTGATGCTCAGAGGACCAGGGGAGAACTTTGGTTCTCTCTTCCCACCATTCAGGTCGCAGAGACTGAACGTAGGCTGTCAGGCTGGGCAGCAACCTGATGGGTGACATCCTGGGTGCTGGTCAGATGAGTCTAGACCAGTGGTCCTCAATCTTCTAAATGCTGCAATCTTTTAATACAGTTCCTCATGTTGTAGTGACCCTCAACCATAAAATTATGGTTGTTGCTACTTTGTAATTGTAATTTTGCTACTGATACGAATTGTAATGTAAACATCTGTATATTCTGATGGTCTTAGGCAACCCCTGTGACAGGGTCATTCGATCCCCAAAGAGGTCACAACCCACAGGTTGAGGACTGCTGGTATAGACAGACACCCGCCATGGCTGCACTCTTATACACCTTAGTTCCTCTCAAATAAGGACTTCCCAATAGTTATACAATACTCTATTTTTTTGGACATTCCATAATTCAGTTAAACTATACTCTCATATTTATGTTATTTCCATTTTTCACTATTGCCGATAGTGCTGTAGTGAACATTCTTGCACCTATATTTTTTACATAATTATGCAAATATCCTTGTAGACAAGAAACACAGCAATGGAATTCCTAAAGGATCCATACATTTAATATTACATTTTAATACATATAGATTTAAGGAATTTACCTTAATATATACTACTCAAGAGCTGGTAACTCATGCCTGTAATCCCAGCACTTGGAAATCTGAGGTAGGAGTCTGAGGCCAGCCTGGGACTCAAGAGTTCCAAGTTAGCCTGAGTTACAGTGAGACCCCATGTCAAAACAAAGGAAACCACGAAGGCATTTGCTCAGCTCAGCACTGGTATTGTAGGACTGTACTAGGCTATTAAACAAAGACAGGATGATGATTGCTCATGAAGACACACAGGTCTATGAGACTGGCATAGGACGAATGGCTGAGGGACAGTGTGAGCAGGAAGAGTCCTAACTGTGGCAAGCCCTATGCTGGTGAAGACAGCATTCTGGTAAAGGCTTAGGAGGTGCTCGGCAGGCTTGCAGTGAAGCTGCCCTCTGGTGGCTAACAGTCCTCACTGACAGACAGCCCTGATGGAATTCAGGGTTGGCTACTAGAAACAGCAGTCATTAAGCTTGTGGAAGGATTCTCTAAAGGATATGCTTGGCTTTTACTTACAATTTTATGCATTTTAAAAAAGTTAGACATTGTCATGAACACTGACCAAGGGTAGTGGTGATCAAGGTCATCTGAAAGGACTTTACGGTTAACTCTGGTCTGTGCAGTTTCACACGTTAGCCTTCCTAATTGCAGGTCACTCACGTGTGTCAGTATTAACATTTTCCCAGCTCACACCTGAGACAGGGTATTAAAGCTCAGTGGCCTTTTCTGAGACCTGAGGTAGGACTCTCATATCTGGTGGAACTGGCAGTCTGGAGACTTGCCTAAGAACACTGCCACTGTTTCTGTGCTTCTTAAGCCTGCCCATGTTGGCTGGTGAGCCTCAGCAGGACATTAGCTCCACTTCACTGGACAGCAGAGAAGACAGAACAGACAGGGCCTAGTCTCCCTCTTACAGCTTAGATGAAAGGATAAAATGCAGCATCAATGTACAATGACCTAGGGATACAGACAGTGGCTGTCTATACAGAACTTACGGTTCTTGAGAGGGCTCCTGAGATGGTTAGACCAGGGAGATGGCAAGCAGCCAGGAAGGTTAACTTTAGGGGAAGAACATGGTTTGACCAGGAAATAGAAAAGGAGACTTAGAATCTAGCCAAATAAAAGCACATTTAGTAAATTAGTAATTACATAAATGGGGAAGAGAAGAAATTATCATTTTGCCAATTGAAAAGATTCTCTCTTGTGTTGACTGACCCTGGGGTATTAGGAGGTGCCAGCAAGGGCCCCACCTAGAATCCTGTAAGGGCATAATCCATTGCTGCCATTATCATCATTTTGGGACTGTTAATGTTAAAATGCTACACCTGCTGTCTAAAGTGCTATCAGCCAGCATGATCAGCTACACGTCACCTACCAACAAAGATCTAAAATAACTTTTGGCAATTTCCAAAAATCAAATTTTAACTGTTGCAAAGATTTGCCATTAATAAAATGGTTCACAACCTGCAGCAGATTTTGGAGAGAATTTTGAAAGTGAGCTTGAAAACCTCTTAGGCAGCAGGGATGCTGTGTGAAGGTAGCCCGTGCAAGTCCTCGTCACTCCAGATGTGCTCACATGCACTGCAGTGAGGTTCTGGGGGTCAACTTACACAACAGTGGTTTTCGGAACTTAACAGATCTGAGAAAGTGTCCTCAGAACAAAGAGAGAGAGACACAAGGGTCTGTGGGGTATGGCCAGTATTGCTTTCCTGTGCACTTCAAAGCACAGTATGATGTCTGCCTCATGGCCAGAATGACACTAGTGCTGTCTATATTGTCCTCCACAGAACCAAGTGGTTGTGGCTGCAGGCAGGAGTTCTTGGGGAGCCCGGCTCTCTGGGGCACTTCATGTCTACAGCCTCAGCTCTGATTGAAGACGTCACTCTCCTCTTCAGCCCCTCTCTCTTGAGCCATGTCATCTCCAGGATGGACAGAGCAGTCCTCCAGTAGAGCTACGGTGAAAACTGATAGAGGCGGGGTTCCTGGGACAGCCAGGCTACCTGGAAATGCGGGCAGCTATGTGTGGACACCAGATGATAGGGAGCAGCAGACTCTGAGGTCAAGTCCCCTCTAAAGCTCTTTTGAATCCTCTGAGCTTGTTGCCTGTGCTTGGGACTTTATCAACCCACCTCCTTTTCTGTAGGAATACCCGTCTCTCTTGCCTAGAAAGGGTATAGTTAGCTCTTAACACTCCATATAATTGTTCCTATAAAAATCCTTGTTAGTGGTGGCTGGTCCTATTTGGATCTTAAATGTACCCCAAATCTCCTATGTTGAAGGCTTGGTCTTCAGCTTAAAGAAGGTAGGAACTCTGGAGTAGGACTTTGTTGAAGGAAGTTATGCTATTGGGGCTTACCAGAACCCCAAGTCCTTCCTTGCCTCTCTGCTGCCAGCTGCCATGCCATGAGCAGCTCTCCTCTGCCATGACATACTGCTTCTTTCCCAGGCCCAAAGCAACAGGGCCAAGCACCCTGGAGCTGACATGGCTGAAAACTGTGAACCAAAATAAACATTTCCTCTTGTTAAGCTCTTTATCATGGGAATTTTGTCATATGGACAGACAATGTCTGGTGAGAACACAGAGGGAGGAAGAGAGGGGCATGGGGAAGGAGCTACACTGGTCTCTCCTCACTGTGGATCTCTGCTCACATTTTATACTGTGGAGGACAACTTCAGACACTAAGGTTTGATGAGTTGTCTCCCACCTCACAGAAGTCTGGAGCTGGTTGTTTCTCACCACCGTGGTTTTAAGTCTTACAGAGTGCTGAGGCTTTTCTGTGCTAGGCTGTGAGCTGCATCAACAAGCAGAAAGGTGTGGTGTGGCCTGAGCCCAGGGTGACCATAAGGGATCAGCAAGGGACTTAGTGGAAGTGGGCTTTGGCTTCACTTGTTCTTGGGCTATTCTTTAGGGTAGCTTCTCTGTGCCAGCCCCACAGTGTGGCTTCAGGAGAAATTTGCCAGCACATATACCTGCTAACAGTGACTAGCTGGTTCTGTGTCACCCAAGGGGATAGCATTCCTTCTGATCCTAGGAATAATACCAAGTGGTGAGGGAAATGATGACAGTGACAGCTCCTACTCAGAGAGAGATCCCTCTGCAGAGAGAATGAGGAAGGGACCAAGGAGAATCAATTCCACTGAGATGGCTCACAACGGAGGAGAAGGAGGGACAGGAAAGACACCCTGGAAGGAAGGCATAGCTCATGCTCCAGACTAGTTGCTGTGTGTACTCTACAGCCCCCTAAGGCACAGCAGGGAGCACAAAGGAATTTTGGTTTAATTAGTGGTTCAACCTATTTAAAGAACACAGCCAGCAGAAGGGTCATTGTTTTGGTACAGGGATAGCAAATCAGCAAACATAAATGGCAAGGTTAACCCAGAGCCTCATGCACAGTAGGAGGGGCTCCCCCAACCCCTGCTGATGCTCTAGCCACCAAGTGCCAGTGATTTTGCTCTGTAATGGATGGATGAGAGCCTGTCTAAACGTGGCCACAGGATTTGTCTTTCGCTCAATGTCTGAGCATAGCATGTAACAGGCATCAGGTAAAGAAAGCTTGAAGCTTACAGAAATCTAAACATATCTTCAAGTTGACAGGATACTTAATATATTGACTCTTCTGTGACAAAGTAAATGCTACACTCACCTTTGAAGGTCAACCTAAAGAATATAGAAAAACCTGATACAGACAAAATATTAGCAGTCTGCACATTATCCTCAACAAGTGAATTAAAATCTCCTTCCTCCAAGCACTAACTGGTTCTAAGATTCAGCCCCACAATGCTTAAGTGACTCAGATGGAGCTAAGCTAAAACAACCTTCTAATACACTTCCTGATCTTTACCTCAAGACACCAACAGACATTTACATATTGGTTTTCTAACTTTCTCTATACATTTTCAAGGCTTCAAGATTGGAATTGCTTTATGCCTTATTGTCCCAGACTATGAAGTTGGAATGACAGCTCTGCAGAGAGCTCAGGTCTCTAGACCTCGTTCCAACCCTTCTATTAGATAACCTCTTTGGCCATTACCGAAGTTACCACACTAAAGTTCAAATGCAGCTTCACTGTGGCCATTCCAAAAGATGGAGCTGAGTGCAGCTCCTGGATCCCACCATGAAGCAGCCTATTAGTGTGAGCTGTTAAGCTACTCCACAGTCTGTTGTCAGGAATCACTTCATAGGATGACCTCTGCTCTGCCCACACTGGCTCAGAGGCTCTGAACGTAAGGACAGAAAGTATTACACTTCTTTGCTCACACTCGATGTGTGACTGCTTGCTCAATCATAACACTGAGTATTTGATATTTTACATTTCCTTTAAGAAGCATTTTTACTCAAAAACCCTACTTGACATAACCACCTTTAAAAATTTTACAAACTACCAGTTCCATCCTCTTATCTGAGGCAAAATAATTACATTTTGTCCCTCTGCTAAGAGGAACATGACTAATCAAGACATTTACTTTATTTAAGCTCATAAACTAACACTACAAGGAAAAATGAGATTCAATCCTGTCTGACCTGGGATCAAATGGACTTCAGTTCCTCATGGATCTCAGCTGAGCAAAACCTAGGACTTCACAGTGTAAGATTCCACAGCAGTGGAGTGCTCTGTGTGCTGAAGAGGGTGTGAAATCTGGGCATCATCAAAGACAATCCTAGAGGCTGTCAAGGGTTCAGCTGCTACAATTTCCATACACACATTCTAGCATCTCACCAGAGGCCTGAAGGGGCCTCATGGCTGGGACACCAGGCCAGCTTGGCTGCCCTAGATCAGCTTCTCACAGCCCCACACAGGAGGGGAGCTTCTGTTTTATACTGGAGTAGCATCTTTTACTTCCATCACTGAAGTACCCAACAATCCTTGTGGGACACTATTAGATTAATCAGACGCCTAGTGTCTGGGGTGGGAACACTTCTTCATTATTCCTACCCTGTAAGCTAAGAGTTGCTCTGGTCTTACTGCAATCTTTGGGAGGCATACTTTTTGGTTATTGTTATGTTCTAGCACACAACCGTATGAAACCTCCTGAGAACACACACGGGCTGGCTGAATGGTTATTAGAACGACAGCTTTCAAACTTTCAGGTATGAGCGACAGGTATGAGCAGATCTGATTCTTCCCTGTGCAGCATCAGAGGGCGGATCCCAGGGCTCTGCTCATACTGGGCGAGCGAGCATTCCCATCCCACACTGTGTTTAGGCTGAGTGAGTGAGCACTCTACAGTGAGCAGCACTCCCAGCCCCACTTCACCTGGTGTTTTGAGACAGAGTCTTACATAGTCCACATGGGTCTGGAACTCACTCTATAACCTTCACTGGCCTAGAACATACTCTGTAGCCCAGGCTGGCCTCAAACTCTTTGTAATCTTCCTACTGCAGCCTTGCAAGGACTGGAAACATAGGTGGTGAACCAACCATGTCCTGCTTTGCCATTTATTTTAAATGAGAGCTTCTGATTGGGAAGATAATGCTTCCACAGTTCCTACATTAGCTATGCTCTTATTTGACAAGACCATCAGTTAACTTTTGAGAGGTAGGCAAACACATTAGCTGTCTGTATATTTTTCTCTTGGGGAGAGGGCAGCATGACAATCTCTTAAATCAGGCAATAATCAAAACAGCTATAAAATTGTAAGAGAATAAATAAACACTTTCTTTAAAACTTCACTTTCCATGGTTCTATTTATAACTAATCAAAAAAATAGTAACAATCTTGATTAATTTGAATCCAAGTATGTTGACATTAAATTATACCTCCTCTTCATTCATCTTATATATAAAAGAGAGCAAATACCTGGAAGTAAAGTTCTATCAAGTAGTGACATTCCACAGTTTGCTGCAAGGCTAACAGATCCATCAGCTCTCTTCCCTGAGTGAGAAACTGACAGGAGCATGATTCCGTGTGTGAGGAACCGAGGCCTATGACCGAGCTCAGGAAGTATGGGCTCTGCTGAGTTCCTGGGCTCCATCAGCACAAAGCTGCACTCTTCTTGATATGTATAATGGTACTGATCTAGATCAGTCTATCTCACAATAAATTAATCTATACTTTAAAAAGTCCATAAAAACAGTATTCAAAGTTGGTAGGACACAGGATTTTGGCCTTTTACAAAGAAACCTCTTTTTCTCAAAGAATTCTGAAGATGTAATCAAGTTTAGTATTATGAATGCCACAGTATTTTTAGTCAGACATAATTTAAACACCAGTTGTCTCCCCCCCCCAAAAAAAGTGATAATAGCTTCAGAAGTATAAAAATCTTTGTCTGCCAGGCTGCTGCTAGCGGCTTGCCAGGACAGTCCTGCTTGCTCCAAGTCCTTCCCGCCTGAGGCTGTTTTTCACATCCATCCTTCTATCTGACAGAAGGGTCTTTTTAGGTAAGGAGGCCATCTAAATAAAGCAGGAAAGAAATTTTAGTTTGTGTTTTTCTTAGAAGTCACTAACCAGATGGTAAGGGAAGACTATGCAGGTCAGCGCCTGTGTACTTCCTCCAGCAGTGCTGACTCCACAGACGAGGGAGGAAAGAAGGAGCAGTCCCCACGCTCATGAGAGCACTACAGCTAGCTGCATTTCAGTGCAGCTACGGGAAAGCCCAGCAGAGTGCCAAGCATCCGTCTCAGTGTAGGATTCCTGACAGTGTCCTACAGAAACCACATCATTTCTAACTGGTTCCCTGTGCTGGTCACTGCTAAGCATCTCACCTCACTTACTGCCTACATCATACACATGGTGTGGACTGGATTAACAGACAGGAAAGTAAGGAGAACTTGCACAGAGTTACAAAGCCTGTGACCACTGAAACCCAGGCTGCCTGACTCTAGGCTCAGGATTGCAGAGAACCCCCCAGTGCTGCTGTGAGCCCCAAGGCCATACCATAGGGGGCACAGGAGCTTCCAGCTGTCTTCCAAGGAAAGAAAGCAACCTCCTCCAGATGAGGCCACTTCCCATAAACATAATTCCTGTAATCAGCCAAAACACACGATGGTCCTGAAAGAAATAGTTTATTCCAGTCACAAAAGGTCAGGCTCCTCACAGACAACTCCCTGCCATTGGAAGAGCTCTCCATAAAAAGCAGCTAGGGACAAGGCCTGCAGTAAAGCCCAAAGACTATGGCCAGGACAGAGTTACTCCTCAGTCGCCCCACAACTTGGTCCTTCTGCACCTAGGACTGTGCATAATGCAACTATCAGAAAATGCTGTAAAGGCGAGGCTTGGCTTTGCAGCCCAGGCTGGCCCTGAATTCCTGGGCTTTGGAGATCCTACTGCCACACCCTACCAAAGAGTTGGCTCTGCAGGTGTGCACCACCACACCTGGATCAGAAAGGAATGCATCTTTGGGTTGAAATCCTCTTGTTTTATAGATTTGCAACTTAAGTTTCCCGAGGCTCTATTTTCTCATCTGCAAAGTAGGGAAACTATGTCTATTTTATAAAGTTGTGGTAACTACATCAGACAAGCCCTATATATGTAAACTCCCAGGTACAGAGCCAGACATACACAACTAAAATAGAATCCCTTATTCCCACTGCCTCACAGTGTGACTGTGGTAGTCAGCTTCTCCCGTGTACGTACATGTTCTAGGAAATAACACACAGGGGCCAACAGTAACTGCCTGACTTCTAAGTGAGTTATAGCCTATGTTCACATGACATCTTCATTGTCAGCTTGACTAAATTTGGAATCACTCCAGAGTTGAATTATGGGAGGGTATTCCTAGAGAGGGGGAGTCACCTGCTTCTTGTCTGCGGACAAGTGACCAGAGATGCCTTCTGCTCTGCTACTTTGCCTTCCTTGTAATGGTGGGTTGTGACTCCTTTAAACTGTGAGCCACAATGAACCTTTTGTTCCTTGTGTTGCCGTTGCCAGGTATTTTGTCACAGCAATGAGAAAGGGAACGAATATACTTCAAACGAATCTGATCATTTAAACACTATAAGATAAAATTCTGTGAGTTATTTAGAGTTGCATTCTTACCTCTTCAAGAGAAGATTCCAAATTCATGCCAAAAGCAACTCCCATTAGTCCGAAGAGTGAAAGGGAGAAGGTTCCCATGGTCAGCTGCAGATTTAACCTCATCATCACATTGCGATGGCTGGAGAGAAAACAACTCACTCAGACCAGCGCACACCCACATCCAGGAAAACCGAGGGACGGCCTGTGGGGTCACTCTTCACCTTCAAAAGAAACTCCTGTGATGGTTAATATTGTAACTTCACAAAGTTGAGAATCACCATAGAAACAAACCTCTTAACTGAGGTGGCACCTTTACCCACCCTTACCATAGGTGGCACCACTCCCTGGCTGAGGACCTGAACAGCACACAAAGGAAAGTGAGCAGAGCACAGCACTCACCTCACTGGTTCCTGACTAGGATATGACCAGCTACTTCAAGTTTCTGCTCCATGACATCCCTCACACTGTGAGTCCAAATAAACCATGCAGTCCCTCAGTGCTTTACTCAGGCCTTAGGTAACTAATAAAACCCACTATGGAGTAGTCCCAGATGTGATGGCGTGACTTCTTCCTGACCGCCGTCCTTACCACCTCTGTAGGTGCCCTCACCTGTCTAGGTTGATGAAGATGATGCTCTGGGAGTCGTCGATCAGGCCCCGCAGCTCCCGCGCCTCATTGGAGAGGTCGTCAGCTAAGTGGTAGTAGTTCTCCAGCAGCAGCTCCATCTCCTCTGCGTGGTCAATCCCAGTGCTGCTCTTCTCACTTCAGTACAGTCGACAGTCAACACACCCAACACTGTGCAACACATACTAATCTCCAACATCAGCCACCAGGTACAGAGCTAGCCTTCTCTTGTCTGTTGTCTAGCCTTGTCTCACCTGTTGTGACTGCGTCCCATTTGTGAGAAGCTATGTCAACTGATCCTAAGCATGTGGCACTCAGCCCTACTCAGCTGAGTTCCAATCACTGTGCCCATGCCCTCAATCCAAAAGACTCATGGAAACATGTCATCAGTGACTGAAAAACACAAATGTGAACTCTGATGAGAAAGCACAAACCCTAGACCATGATGGGGCACAAGAGAACCCAGACTAAGCTGAAAAGAGCGTTTTCTGGGGCTGGAAGATGTCTCAGTGGTCAAGGGTTAAGGCTCTTCCAGATGACCTGGGTTTGATTTCTAGCACCCACATGGTGGCTCATAACCATTTGTAATCTGAGAATCTACAATTCTCAGAGATCTGATGCCCACTTCTTGCCTCTGTAGGCATGAAACACACAAGTGGTACATAGACATACATGAAGGCAAAACACCTATACACATTAAAAAAAAGAATCTCCCTTTGAATACAATCAAGTACAGCAGTAGCTGATTTCATCCTCCTTGGATGAGTGAACAGAGGACCTAACTGCTGATATCTGCTTCCCTGAACATTAACATTGTCTATTCTAGCCTGTGTGGATACTAAAGCTCTGACTATGGTCTGAGGCTGTGATGCACTATAAGGTATCACCTTTCCTGCACGGTAGGTTTGGTAAAAGTGAATTGCATTGAGCCTTGGTGCCTCTACTCTCGCATGTTTGTGTGAATTAAATGTTGGGAAGAAAGGGTTGTATGTTTTGTCTTGGGGGAATTAAAAACAAAGAACTTGTTACTGTTTATGGTGTGCGAGTGATGTGGGAGTCAGAGGACAGCCGTGTGGTTGTGCCCTCCTTCACTTTTACAGGGACTCCAGGGATCCAGCTCAGGTCGGCATGTTTCACAAGCACTTCCGGCTGCTGAGCCACCTCACTAGCCCCTTTCCTCGCTTTTTAGCTAATGAAGAGCACGAGCACTTACAACTGTGCCTCTGTCTAAGACTGCACTTCTCTAAAGGCTTTGGGCCCACTACTGGAGTAGGCTCCAGTAACTTTTAAATGCAGTCTAGAATTATAGATCAGACAGTGAGTTTTGTACTCTGTGTCTGGACCTGCTTTTAGACGTTTCTAAAAAAAAAAACAAAAAAAACAAGTGATTTCTAGGTTTATAAATCAGAAAAAGTGTGTAAGCTATGTGTTTGTAACAGACGAGGCTTATGGAACCCAATCCCCACGGCATGGCTCATCCCCTCCTTACCATGCGACTGTTGCCCTTTGCTTCTCAGGGAACTTATTTCATTGTGCATATGTTGCTAAGTGATCCATTCCCTGGGGATAACTGCAATATATTTATGTTCTCTTCAGCCCATCAGCTAGAATGCCATGTGCACTCAATGCAGCCTCACTGAGGTGGGACATGTGCAACACAGTGTATAAGATGAAAAGCACCTATTCTCTATCTAGAAAAATACAGGCTCACCTGAAGGAAGAAGCAACACAAGGCTCCACTTACAAGACATCTGGGTCGCTCCACTTGGTTAGGCAGAGTTCTTCCAGCATCTCCTCCTCATCTAAGAGCTCCAAAATCGACTCTTTGAAAATTTTAATGTCCGTTTCTAACTCAGAGAGACTGTAAGAATAGTTACAAGGTAGAGATCAGCTGCATAAACTGCATCATTTCACTGTAGGTGTGGAGATAAGTAATCAGCCTATCAGTGTACATGGTAAGAAACATTTCACTAATAATGCAAATTAACTATTCCCAAAACCAAACAAATTAGTAAAATTATACAACTCTATATATACAACTTTGGTGGCTTTCAAGGTTATGCATTCTAGAGACTTAAGGCTAAGGTAAAACACATGGACATTACGCTTAGCTAAGGACTCTGCTGAATTAGGTCAGAGGATGGAGGATGGCTGAAGAGGATGGCGCACTGAGGAGGTTTATAGGAGGCTGGTTACTGGTAAGACAAAGAGGTCAGAGAAGTGGTTCGTAATCTTGCTTGTGAGAGTCACACAGGAAGGGCTGGACAGACTATTCAGTTTTTATGTGTAGTTCTGAAGGGTGAATCAATGTCCTCGTTCATGACAAAGGCAAAGGCTCTTTCAGATTACTTACACCCCTGGCCCTACTGCTTTTTGAGAGAGGGTATCACTCTGTAGCCTAGAATGGCGTCTAATTTGAGGCAATCCTCCTGCTTTAGACTGCTGAGTGCTGGGATTACATGTGAGGTACCATACTTAGCTATACACATTTTTTTTTAAAAAATTACTTATATTTATGTGTCTTTGTGTGCTTATGCCATGTGTCCTAATGTGTGTCTACTGAGGCCAGAGTGTTGGCTTCTTGGAGCTGGAGTTACAGGTGGTTGTGGGCCACCTGGTATGGGTTCTGGGAATGGAACTCAGGGCCTGTGAAAGAGCATTATATTAGCCATTGAACCACCTCTCCAGCTAGGAGCTTAGATATTCTTAACTGATAAAAATACTCTAACAATGGATCAACAACACAAACAACAGCGCATTTTAAATTTTTAACTGAGAATGGAGGCTTAAGGGATAGATGGCTGAGCAGTTCAGATCACTTGCTGTTCTTGCAGAGGATCCAAGTTTGGTTCCCGGCACCCATATGATGGCTCATAATCATCTGCAACTCAACTCCAGGAGATCTGATGTCTTCTGAACTTCTCAGGTACCAGGCACACACACAGTACACATTTAAGTATATGCAGGCAAAACGACCATACACATAAAATAAATAAACATTAATTTTAGTTTTAAACTAGGGCCAGTAAGAAGAGTCAAGAAGGTCAGGGTGCCTATTGGAAAACCTGATGACCTATGATCAATTCACGGGATTTACATGGCGGAAGGAGGGAACCAATTCCAACAAACTTTCCTACTTTCCTGACTTCCACATGTACATATATTCTCCCCCCAATAAAGATTTAATAAAAACTAATTTTATTTATATATATATAGTTAGTTTTAATATATATATATATATGTATATATATACACACACACACACACACACA